TTCTCGGAGCTGTCGAGCTGTGAAGACCTCCCCGCTGTGCAGCCCAACCGAGAAGAGACTGGGGTCAGTGGCCTGCAGCAAGGTGTACGAGATCCAGGCGTTATACCCCAAGTCTGGATCCACCGCCACCACTTTGGTGACCATATGCCTGGCAGGAGTGCCTGGCGCCACCACGTCGCTGGAGTTGGGACGGGGATACAGCACAACTGGGGCGTTGTCGTTGAGGTCTGTGACAAACACACTGACCGACAGGTTGGTGGACAGGGGTAGAGAGCCACCATCCTGGACCTGCACCATCATGCTGAACTTCACCTGGTCCTCGTGGTCCAGGGAGGCAAGCAGATAGAGTGTGCCATTCTCATGGTTGATGGAGAAGAGGCGGCTCACTGCGGGGTCACCCTGAAGAAGGACATACGAGAGACGAGAGTTGGGTCCCAGGTCCGGGTCCGTGGCGCTTATGTTTAGGATAGGGATGCCAGCTTCGTTGTTCTCCGGCACATATACATCATAGTGGTCCTGGGGAGACTTGGGTGCATTGTCATTGACGTCTGACACCTGCACTAGGAGCTGTTTTACTGCAGACAAGGGCGGCGAGCCCAAGTCCCTGGCTGTGATGGTGATGTTGTACTTCGACGCTTCTTCGCGGTCCAGAGCCTCTTTGGTTTTCAACGTGTAGTAGCTTTTGAGGGAGGAGCTGAGAGTGAATGGGATTCCAGGAGAAATAAAGCAGTTCACCAGACCGTTGTCTCCGGAGTCCAGGTCTGTTACGCTCAGCAGAGCTACGACCGTCCCCGGGGCGGCATCCTCGGGCACAGGGCTGTACACAGAGGTCACTGTCACCTCCGGAGCATTGTCGTTCACATCCACGACTTCCACCAGCACTTTGCAATGAGCTACGCCGGGAACGACGCCCTTGTCTTTAGCCTGTAAATAAATCTCGTACAGCTTCGTTTCCTCGTAGTCCAGCTGCCCCTTAACCTTCAGCTCTCCCGTGGCCGAGTCCAGTGTGAAGAGCTCCCTCACCTTTGCCAGCGTGTGGCTGCTGAAAGAGTAGATGATGTCTCCGTTGGGCCCATCATCCAGATCGTAAGCGCTGATCCTGGCCACCAGGGTGCCGCTGGGCGTGTTCTCCCTCACGCTCGCCTTGTAGGTGGAGTGGTTGAAGACCGGGGCGTTATCGTTGGCGTCCACAACGTCAATGTGGATCTGCACGCTGGCAGACCGCGGCGGGCTGCCTCCATCCAGCGCGGTCAGGACCAAGTGCAGTTCCCGCTGCTCCTCCCTATCCAGCTCCTTCTCTAGAACCAACTCCGCATGCTTGCTGCCATCTCCCCTCGTCTGCACATCCAGGACAAAATGCGGGTTGGCACTCAGCTGGTAAGTTTGCAAAGAGTTAATTCCCACATCGGGGTCTTGCGCGCTCTCTAGCGGGAAGCGCACCCTGGGCGCCACCGACTCGCTGATTTCCAGCCTCGCCTGGCTGCTCGGGAAAACTGGGTCGTTGTCATTGATATCCAGGATCTCTACGACGCCGCTGTACAGCTCCAGCGGGTTCTCCACCAAGACCTCAAAGCTCAAGGAGCAGGGAGACACGGCGCCGCAGAGCTCCTCCCGGTCTATCCGCTCGCTCACCAGCAGCGCGCCGCTCTTTAGATCCACCCTGAAGTACTTCTTACTGCCGCCGGACACGACCCGGAGCCGGCGATCCGGCAGCCGCCCGAGATCCAGCTTTAGGTCAGCTACCACATTTCCCACCGCGGAGCCTCTCCGCGCTTCCTCGGGAATCGCATAGCGGATCGCGGCGGAAGCCCAGTCGGAAACGCCGAGCAAAACCAAGAAACTCAGTACCTGCCCCGTCGTCACCCGGCGGCTCCTTGCAGCAACGCCTTTCATCGCACAGGACGGCAGCTCTCCCCGCCCGCGCCTCTGCGGTTTGCCCCCCCTCCACTAGAAATCCTCAGCTCGCCCCTTCATGCCGCTCCCCACAGCGCCCCGGGAACCGGCCGTGCGGCGGAGAGACGGGCATTGCTTTGTAGCACAGCAGTGACTCACTCCCAGGCTCTCTCTGAGGCTGTCTCTGCCTCATCCCGGCTCCGAGCTGGGACGGGCCGCCAGATCCCTGGCTTCATCATTGGCCGACAGCGGCACATAGAGTCCCGGCCAATAATTGCACGGAGCGCGCCCGGACAGCCCCGACGTGGGAAGCAGCCGGGTGCAGAGCACGGCAGCGAGCGCCGCACCGACTGACCCCAAGGTACCGGCAGGCGGGCAGAAATCGCAGCCCTGAGAGCAAAGCTGCCGGGTGACCTGCTGGCCCGGAGCAGACAGGGAGAACCTCCCCGCCAGGAACCAAGCTAACAATCCAGGATCGATCTGACAGGTGGGCTGCGCATGAGGGCAGGGACGCTTAGGAGTTAGCAGAGAAGATGATGCAAAAAGAAAACGTGGAGGGCAGAAAATAGAGGGGTACCCATGAAAAAAAAAGAAAGAAAAAAATAAAAGAAAAGGAAAGAAAAGAAAAGGAAAACCTCTTTGGAGAAAGACAGCAGGAGCAAGAAAAGGAGGTGGAGGGGACGAGACGAGGCTGGCGGGGACAATGCACGGGGACAGTGCACAGCAGGGCTTCAGCACAGCCTTGGGTCAACCTTTATGCCGTCTCCAGGTGTCAGGATCCTGAAGGATCCAGATCACCCCAAGTGCTCTTTCAGCCCTTCCTAACTTTTTATTTTATTTTAAATTTTCCTAATAAGCTATTTTGCCCACAGCAAACAATTATGCTCAAAGGGTGGCTTCTGCTGCAATGTCGCAAAGAGCATCTCACCTCCTGCCCCCAATCATCATCACTTTCTCAGAGAAGATCTTTCTATCATAAATCGTCGAAAAAAGAGATACAAAGTTAAGTGTAAACGAGGCAGAAACACACGGTGCGGGCGAGGCAGAAGTAGATAGGGCTCTCTCCCTCTCCGGGCTCCTAGGGTCTCCTTTTTGGTCTCTCTCTCTTTTCCTCACCATCTCTCCAGCTTAGTTCCTGATGCCTGTTTGCTTAGTCCAGGCACCTACTGGCTTCCCTGGTTTTGGGAGCTGAGTCTCACCAGCACATGGGAAAAAAACATCCCGCTTATGGTCACTTATAGCCCTGGGATCATGGCGCCAGGCGCACCGAGTTGAGAAAAAGCCAGCTCTAGCGCTGTCCGTCGTGCGATTCGGGTGGTTGCTGTCGACAACTTGTGATACTGCGTTTTTCCAACGGCACCAACGTACAAATGAATAAAATCACTGCAATTTCTGTCATCCAATGAACGATGCAAAATTGAAAATTTGGGAAGGTGACAATTGAACTTGATACGGGAGCGCCAAGAGTTCTATCATAATCATAAGTTTAATAACGAACAAAAGAAGTTGGCTAGAGAAGAAAAATGATTCGAAATCAGCGTCTAGGTGTTCCCTCGTTTATCCAAGACAGGGAGGTAGCGCCTTGCAGAATTTTCCTGGAAATATTGCAGCTGATTAACAGTTACCTCGAATCTTATCACATTCGACAGCATCGTAGAAAGGCTACAAATCACCCTTATCATTGTGAGATGCACAGCACTGGCGAAGAAATAGGAAACTCGACCCTAGACAAGGTACAATCCTGCTAACTTCCATGAAATACTCAGGACAGACACTCAGAAACAAAATATTTCAGCGCTTATATGTATTCACCAACATAACATGGATCGGTTCAGACTTTCAACTCTACAGCTATTTCTTTTCCTACTTAATAATCAATGATGAAAATTAAATCATATTAACAGTACTTACTACTACTATATTCTTATCGACAGTTCGTAGAACTTGGAAGAAAAGAGGAAAAAAAAACCCTGTATGCTTAAAAGTACTAAAATGCAATATTAGTAAACTAAAAAAAAAAGAGTTTTTAAAAAATGTTCTGGAGAAATTTAAAAACTCACGGGAAGAGTGGGTGAAAGGTGCCTGTAAGTCACACTTACCTCAATCTATCCATTCTGGATCTTCTTTATAACAGATCATATCTTCAGACTCACCATCCTGAAATGAAGTATCTTTTCTCATAAACCTCTACTCAGCAAAATTCAAGTTAATTTTCTCTCTTATATATGATCTCAGAATAAGACAACGCATAGTTCCATTCGAGCTACAGTCCAAAAAACCCTTCAAGTTTTTTCATTTAATTATGCTGAAACGAGATCTGAAACTTTTACTTTTTACTTACCAGTCCCTGCTACTTTCTTAATACGTTTGTGTCTTCTCTAAATTCTATTAACAGATTTTTCCTTCCAACATGTTCATTGAAATTCTTTAATATCTCTTAATGTGAGCACTCACACGACAATAACTCTAGAGCAACATGTTTCCATAACGCTTACACGGAGTAGCAAGATGAGTACTAAGATGAGTAATAAAGTGAGTACTGAGAACAGTACAAGGATATCTGCACTCATAAAAGCACAGAAGATCCTCTCTTCCCATCTCTCATACTTCAACTGATTTGGAGGGATCATCCTCTGTTTGCTCTTAAGAAAAGCCAGAAAATTTCAGGTGACACCTCTCAGACCTCCTTAAAACACCATTTGGAAGGGACAAGAGAAAAAGAAGAGGGAATATGTAGTAGCAAAGAGTAAGGGCATCAAATTATATCTGGGAGTTCAAGACAAATAGCAAATACAGCTCACACACTCGCCATGGCTTCAGGTTAGTCAGTCTCGGAAACTGGTGAACCTTCTTGCTCAGATCCAAGTCAGGCATCAGTTCTAGCTCCCCAGTGGGGAGGACGAAGAATATGGAGGACAAATGTTAAATCACTAGTGTGCACGATGGGGACAGGATATGAGGAAAATAAAGCTGGAAGGGAAAATGGATGAAAGCGCCACAAAGATGCTGGCATTACTAAGTGAACAGACAGGAATAAATCTTCGGTCTATATCACTCGGGAGAGCCTGAGTCACAAAAAGAAGAAATTATTCGAACGAGATAGTAGGTCTGTCTCAATTTTGGATCCTGGAGATTCTTTTCTAATCGCTCCCCGCAAAGCATACGCTAGCCAGTAAAAATAATTCCCGTAATAACTCATTCATCAGCCACAGAAATGCTACCAACATAACCGCGAGGCTCGCATGGGGGTTTGGAAAGGCAGAACAGAAAGTTCATGGAGAAGACAGAGAGGTGTAAAAAAAAAAAAAAACAAAACAAAAAAAAAACAGCGACTTCTCTTCCCGTCACACAGCTCTGCTCCTCATGCAGCCACCCTGATCTGAAGCGGGACGTTCGACCACAAACGCAGAAACCACAAAAGCAGAACACAAAGCACCTCGCCGAGGCGAGGGCACTAAAGACAGCGTGAGATTAGGATGGGGTCAGACAAACGCTCGTCGCCCCATTAACAAGCACATTCACACCTCCTGTGGTGAATACATTGCTAAAAAAACAGCCAGCACCTGTTCCACCTGCAGTACTACCAATCAAGCTCCAATAAATCTCTTCGGTGAAAAAAAAAAAATCAAGAAATCTCACTTGCTTTCACCCCACAGGCAGAAGCAGATGACCTCAGAAGACCTCGGGTACAGTGAAGGACACTTTACCCTTCCTGAAGCATATCGCGTCACGCAGCAATACGCCCATGGCGATACCTTCACAAGGTGGAGATACATGGACCTGAGGAAGTATACCTCTACCTTCTGCCATATTTACACACTAAGAATTTTTACTTTCCTTAGAATCCATGTGTTACATTCTTTTTCTTTTCAGAACACACTATAAAATGCATACAACTTTCTCTGTCATGCGACAGGATCTCCTCTTGAAGTCTGCAAGCAGAGCTACTCCCACGGCCAAATCCTTCCAAGCAAGACGACGCTCGTGTTCCCTAATGACCCGGAGGGCGTCATGTTTCATTCCTGCAACAAGTCACACAGCACACACCACCCCTCCCGCCCTCTCTCTACAGACTCCCGCGCTCAGCGGCATGAGGACACCCCGTCTCAGTGTACTCAACACACAGGGAAAACCAGGAAGCATCCTGAAATCTCACTCACATTCGCCCATTACCCGCGCCCCCACACACACAAGACCTCAGAAGACCACGCATACAGCGAGGATCCACCCTCCCCCTTTAATGAGGCTCAACGCTTCAAGCAGCGCTACTCCCAAGACCGGAGCCTCCCAAGGAAACCGACTCCCACATTTCCTGATGACCCGGTGGGCGTCGTGTTTCACTTCCTGCAGCGAATCACGAGAAAAGCGGCCAGCCCTTCCCATTGCAGCAGGGAAGAGAAAATGGCAGAAGCCGCCGAGCCAACCCAGCCCCAGAAAAACACACAAAAAGAAGCATATTTGGTCCGAAGATAAGGGAGGGAAAAGAGAACAGTGTCCTCTTACATGCCTATTAATGCTGAAGATTATCAAAATTATAAATGAGAGAACAAGGGTCATGACAGGATTCGGAAAGCAGCGAGAAGAGGATAGTTTCGTTTTACAGACCTGCAGGGCGTCGGGGTCCGAGGGCGGCTCTGCCGGGGAGCGGCTGCTGCTGGCCGTGAGCATCGC